ACTTGTATCGCTAAAATGTCTTCGGAAAGAAATTATACGGAAAATTAACTAACGAACGGAGGCGTAACAAATTGGTGTCAGAGGGTGGGACGGAAAAGGAAAAAAATGGAAACGAGAAGCGGCAAATCAAACTAAAGATTAGCAGATTTGATGGCAGCAATACAAGAACAGCAAAAGAAACAAGAAGAACGAGAAAAGAAACAAGAAGAGAGGTTACAGCAGTGTCAAATGGAACAAGAAAGGAAACAGGAAGAAAGTCTCCAACAGTTGCAGGAAATTCAGCAACAACTACAGGAAAGTCAACAACAGTGGCAAGAAGTACAAATGGAAAACATTAGTAAATTTCAAAGTGAATTAAATACATTAAAGGATGATTTATTGTCTTTTACACAAGGAGGATACATTAACCGTCGACTTAAATAGCCTCAGACAATGGCAAGCCCCTGACAGACCCCGCAGCTAAACCCTCATGCAGACATCTTCAATACTGTTAGAAGTCATATCCCAGATGTGAATGTCAGCAATAGGGGTCCTCTGCCCCAAACTTGTGCTGGAAACATGTACATTTGTGTGGTGATGTATTATTTCACCAAGTGGCCTGAGGCATATGCAATACCAAATCAGGAAGCTACAACTGTAGCTTCAGCTATTAGTGATTTCTTCTTCAGATTGTGTATGCCATATGAACTACATTCAGATCAAGGCCGTAACTTCGAATCAGCTGTGTTCCAAGAATGCTGCAATTTGTTTGGCATCCGAAAGACCAGGACAACGCCACTTCGCCCACAGTCCGATGGGATGGTAGAAAAGTACACCTGGACAATGGGACAGGAATTGGTAAAGTTTTGTAATAGCCGCCAAGATGACTGGGATGTCTTACTCCCTCCACTATTGATGGCCTATAGGACAGCAGAGCATGAAGCCACTGGATACACTCCAGCAAAGTTGATGTTTGGTCGGGAACTTCGGTTGCCAGTGAATCTGTTAACAGGACGCCCACCTTATGAAGAGTTGCCTGAAAATGTGTCAGAGTTTGTGAAAGTGTTATCAGAAAGGATGGATGATATTCACCATCAAGTGCATTCAAACTTGAAAATGTCTGTTGATTCGATGAAGTTATCTTATGATAAGAAATCTACTGAAGTCAGCTTTGTACCAGGAGACAAGGTATGGTTGTATAATCCCAGGAAGACCAAAGGGAAGTCTCCTAAGTTGTTTTCTCCATGGGAAGGCCCATATGGCATAGTGGATCGTCTCTCAGACGTGACTTCCGGATAAAATGTGGTCGGCGAGGTAAGCCAAAGGTGGTGCATGCCCACAGGCTTTGGCGTTATCACGGTCCAGGACATTTCAGTTGGGATAAATTGAACAACGGAACAAATGACGCTGCTGAAGGTGTGTCACCTGAAAAAGCCACTGTTGAAGAAGAAACTCTATTCAGTTTTGAGAAGAGAAACGTTTAAGCTCTTGATGAAGTTACTACAACTGATGTTACTGTTATCAACGATAGATCATTTCCTGATGAAGCAGATGAACCCCATATGAAGCAGAAGCCAACGAGACGGAGACCAGTTCGGAAGAAGATACGTCCCGTAAAATTAAGAGACTTTGTTAAATTGTAATTTTGTGTTTGTAATTCTGTACATTTAATTAAGTTATTGTTAATTGTTTATTGGTTTAATGTAAGTGGCTATTGTTCGGGACGAACAATAATAAGGAAGGGGCAGTGTTACGACAGCGGAAGTCACGTGACGCTAGTAACACGTCATGAACTTCTAGAAGGATCCTGTCCTTTCCTGAATGCTCTAGCGTTTACTAGAGTTCGGTATTCTTTTATATATAAGACGGTCAAGACGTGACGGCAACAATGTAATGGGTAATTGAACTGCAGACAGAGAGAGAGAGACGTATTGTTGAGCACGTGAGACGTTCGTTGTGAATTATAGCATGACTGTGGAAATTAAGTGTATTGCAAAGTTGTATTTAGAAAGAATAAACCAGTTTTATTTAAGAAAGGACTTGTATCGCTAAAATTTATTCGGAACGAAATTATACGGAAAATTAACTAACGAACGGAGGCGTAAGAGTATGGTACCCGTACTATGTGCAAAGTATTATAGATTGTGTAAAAAAATATGAATATATTGTTGCATATCTGTTTGTTTGTTAATTTCCGGTATAAATTCTTTCCGAAGAACTTCAGAGATACAATTCCCTTCTTGATTAAAACTAGTTTATTCTTTCTCGATACAACTTTGTAATACACAGAATTTCCACAGTCACTTTAAACTTAACAACCTTTATAGCACACGCTATAAATCACAGTGATTCACAAACCTTACTTACGGTGCCTACTGTTCCCTTGACTCAATTATCTATCTCTCCGATCTATCTATATCTCTTGAATCGCACTGGTTTTTCTCGCCAGGCTTATATACTAAAAAGAGGACGCCTCGAACAAACTCGGGCCTTCTCGATAATTCATGATCCTTCGAGAAACTCCAGCGCGCATACTCTCAGCGTCACACGACTTCCGCTGTCGTAACAATATCATTATTTAGCCACGGCATAGCAGCTCATAGAACGGCTCTGATATTTCTTTTGTTTTCGAGTACAAACTTTTAGCTCATAACTCCGCCATCTCTTGACCGGTTTGAGATCTAATTACAGATTTGGACTCAGGAGGTCAAACCCTTTCCATTGATATACTTGACCATTACCAAGGTCTCGTAGATTAATTTACTCTAACCCTGCCTAAAAGAATTTCAGTTTGAGGGTAGGCTGGTAGAGGTCCTGATGAGTAATAAAATTGAATCAGGTATAGGCGCGCTCCACGTTTTTTATTGCTGGCGTACAAAAATATAGCTAATAAAAAGGAACAAAAGGTCTCGTAGATTAATTTACTCTAACCTGTCTAAAATAATTTCAAATGCCGTGGCTACTGAGGATTCCTTCTTGTTTAAATTATTAAAGTATTGCAAAAAACGTAGTGTTTAATCTAATTAAAAATCATAACGTGGGATAATATCAACTTTAATATCCTTTTCAGAAGAATGAAAAATAAATTTGACCACAACTACTTGCAAAAACATATTTTATACTAAAATTATTATAATGGTAACATCAAACGTAATATTAACTCTTCTCTTTGAAAATCAAAAAACAGTAAACGTAGGCTAAGAACAATAGGTTATTTTGAGAGTTAAAAAATGTGCCCTCATCTCTAAAGCGGAAGGTTAAAAATACCTGGAAAGGCTTTAGGCTTCGTGTTTAGCGGGAGTAATAATATACTTATTATTGTGCTGTCGTGTTGCTGTTTCCAGAGTGCTTGTGAATGCTTAGGTTAGCGACGTAGATTTGGCGTTTTCTGATTTGTCAACACCATTCAATATGGTGAGTTAACATTAAATTCTGACTTTGTACTAGCTTTGCCAATGTAGCATTTGACTTGATTTTCAAATTAGCTAAACCATCTAATTTGAAATGAAATTTGATTTGTCAATAATGTTTTATAGTTAAGTTGTATTTTCTTCGATGTTAAGGGTAAATAGTTTTGCATTAAACGACATAGAAATTAGAACTTAGAAGTTCTAGTTCAGGTTAATTTAAATTAATTAGTTTATTTACATTTAAACTAATTGTAGTACTTTATCGTTAAAACGTTAGAAGATAATTGTTACGGTAAATGTTACAACTAATATTAATACTAGTTGCAGAACTAAGTTAAAACTTAAAAAGTAAACGTTTAATGTAAATTGTTTCGTGGACTGCAGAAGAAAATTTGTGTCGTTAGGCGCCTAAAATTTGAGAGATTAATACTAGGTGGCTTTTGTTGTTATTCGGAAACATTTAGCCACAAAAAATGTTGAATTTCTAAACTTGATAAGGTTACTGAACAATAACATATATATTATTAAATGGCATTGACTTCGATAAGCAAATAATGTGCATATAAAATATGATGTTTTACACGGTACCTTAATAATAATTGTGTGTTAAATTGATATAACATACACATTTTCTGAAATATCTGATAATAAATTGTATAAAATTAAAAAGTTATGAAAGCTAATTTCTAGAACTCAGAAGAGAAATGTTAGTTTCATTTTGATAATTTGGTTAACTTGAACTAAAGACAAAAAAGTTAATTTAGGCATAGAACTTGTAAGTTAATGTTCCAACTTCAAATAATTTTTTTTTTGTATACAGAGTAGTCAGATTAAAGGTTAAAAACGTTTATTGATATTACTATTACTAATTCATGTGTTTCGTAATTATATTGTTCTATCACTATTTGTGTGAAGATCAGCTTAATTATTGTGACGCGAATTTGACGACCTTGTGCAGTGGAAATCCTGCATTTACGTAACGTGGTGGATTGAATCAGTTTGTCTAAATTTAGAAACCTACTGTAATGCACAGCAAGTATAAAGTTACTGTACAACAGTCATGCATATAAACAGTAAACTTTGTTTTGTTAGTTATTCATGCAAATGTAAGATCGTTAGGGTAGTATGGAAATGTTATTTATTTTTATAATCTTCAAGTATATTAATATTGGCTAACATTTTCTTTTATGACATCAAATTGTAGGACATGGGTTATCCCAAGACATTTAAATTTCTTTCATTAAAAACGTTATTGAAAAGAAGGAAATTAAGAACCCACATTTTGATACAGGGTGGTTCAAAAGCCATTTACTCTGCATTTAAATCTCTTTTTATGTGGACAGTATTTGATAAGTAGTACCAAAACTAATTACTCCTTTCTTTCATGTTTATGTATTACTATTACTCTCATGTGCCCCTACATCAATCTGAAACAGATGAAAATGAAAAATGTTTCAGCAGTAGTTGAATTAGTTTAATAAATGTTAACAAGTAAAACAGCTTTTAATAGGCAGAAAGTATAAAATGTTCTAAATGACATTTGTGTAGTTAAATAATGATGTTGCTAAAATTGGTCACTGCCTTAGAGAAGCAGCCATGTTTGATATGATGATGTCAAACTATTTTTATTCTTTGACTATCAACAACAGATGGGGTTATCGAAAGCATAAAATAATACACATACATTTAAGACAAAATTTTAAAAATCTCATTGTTTTGTCAGTTTGAAAAAAAAGAAGTATCACTAATGAGTGAGTAATGACAAATAGAATATGGGAGTAGAGGGGAAAATAACATCAGTAAATATGAACAAACCACTTATTTCATGTGGTTGTAAAAACAAAATGGTTGCTTTTCTCTATGATGTGATATTTTATACCATAGGTGTCATATTTAATGGGGTACAGGAACCTGAAGCTGTGTGTGATCACCCCAAGCTTTCAAGAAACATGGTATATCACTGCACTTATAGTGAACACTTGATTATATGTATATATGTGTGTGTATTCATTTTATTATTAACTTTTTGTTTTTTCTGGTGCCTTAATGATGAAATTAAACCATTAATAAAGAAAGTGACCACTGCAAAATTCATAACCCAGTCATAAATTGACTGGGTAATTATTTTTAAAATTAAAATATCTTCAAGCTTATTAGTGTACAGTGACCTTTCATCACTAGCCTAATGTGCAGTTTGCTCTTCACATGAAGCTATTGGTAATAAACTGTTTAAGCTATCTCCCCCCCTTCAAAAAAAAACAAACTTCTTTATGATACATCAATTTGGTTCTTTATATGCAACCTCTTTAACCAGATTTATCACAACAGCAACATGTCGAAGTTTCAACTTAATATCAAAATGAAAATGATAGGTTTTTAAGTTTAATGAAAAATTTGTATATGCATTATATATATATATATATATATATATATATTGCAAAACTGTATTTACAAATATGCATTAACTGATAGACAGTGATACTGTGAATCAATAGGCATAGGTCTGCTTTAAGTATGTACTGTGCAATTACATAATTCATATTCAGAATATTATTCTATTTTGTAAGCTATATAATGTTAGGATACTTTACTAGCTATGTAATGCTATGATATTTTATAAATTATAATAATGCTGCGATACTTTGTAAACTGTGTAATGCTGTGTTACTTTGTAAGCTATATAATGCTATGGTACTTTCTAAGCTATGTAATCTTATATAATGCCATGGTACTTTATGAGCTGTGTTTTGCTGTGAGGCTTTATAAGCTATGTAATGCTGTGATACTTTGTAAGCTATGTATCATTTAATTCTATGATACTTTTTAGCATAGCTACACCTATGAATGAACAATAGGAAAAGTCCTTTAGGTTAAATGAAGGTTTATTTATGTATTTTCATACATTTTGGGAGTAGGGATAGGAGTGGGCTGTTGGTTAGAAAGTTTTCCTGAAATTAAAAGTAGGTATGTGATTATATCCTTTATAAATGGAGACTGGATGATGTACATAATTTCTGGGGTGACATGGTTGATTGAATCATCAGATGCCTGAGAAATAGTCTTGACCTCCTTAAATTGAGAGATCAGTAATTTAGTCAGTTAATGCACTATTGGGCTTAATGGCATAATGATTCCCGTACCATGCTGTTTATGTAATAAATTGAATGCTTTGACAAATATTTATACTTGTGTGCATAAAAATACTAACTTTTTATACATATTTCAAGTATTTTATGATCTGACAGTGTACTTTTCATCCTTTTTTTTTCCCTCCTGGGTTCAGGTTATGTTGTAACATTTTCTGTCATTGAGCTAGTTCTTTTGGATCATTTGTTAAAAAATTATGTCAAGTCCAATCCAAGTGATAAAAAATTGATTTATTTCTTTAATAAGCATTTGCTACAGTTACATTCATTGTAGGCCTAATTTCAAGAACATAAACTTTTCAACATAAACTCTGAAACAAATGTAGGCCTAACTTACTTATAAACGTGTAGAATTTCATAGCTAATTGATTAACAGAATAGTAGAATAGATGTAATTACTCTCATTTTTAAAACTAAATAACTTTTATGACACTGAATTTAATCAGTCAATGCCCATTAACTCTGAGCTTGCTAACTGACTAGCATTGAACTCAGTGAACTGAATCTATTGATTAATGATTACTCGTATTTATATCCTACTTTTATTTCTACATAGTATGACAATCTCATTTTGTACCATGAGACATGGTGACTAACAGTGCATTATTTTTTCAGAAACTTCATGTCACCTTAGAATTTTCAATATAATTTCCTGTGTGTGTGTGTGATACCCCTCTGGCTTGTACACAGTATGGAGTTGCAAAAATATTTTTATTTTATTATATTTTTCTCAAAGAAGATCCACTCTCCCAGATTTGTGTGAAAGCCTTATCTTCATGTTGCCAATGGTACTGCAGTAACTAAAAATATTGCTATGGTGACTAGGTTGTCTATAATAGCCTCAACTAGCTCAAAGACACATCAAGTATTCTGGAAATTGTTTATTAACACATGAAGATAGCTTACAAAGAACAATTCATGAACACTTGATGGGTAACATTCACAAGCTGAGTGGCAAATCCAATCATAATCATCAGGAGCAGTAGCTTTCTTTAGCAAACAACTAAATTGTAACATTGGAAATATAGGTTACAACACTGCCTCCTTCCTGGATTGTGAAGTCCCTTGAACAGTTTTAATACAAAAGTAATGCACTAAACTGCTCATTCACCAAGTTTTTTTTAGTCGGTTTTCTTCTCCAAGAGTTATGTTATTTAGATGGAATGACCTCTTGACCCTTATCCTCGCATGTCACTGAGGGAGTGACTGTCCTCCATATGTGAGTACTGAAGGTTCAATGGCACTTTTAAGTTCTCTTACATACATCAGTGATAATTATATTTTGTCCCTAGCTTCATTTGCTGCTGTTCAGTAATTCATGAGTAGCATTAACAAAATCTTGATCCCATGTTTTTTGTGATAAATTACTAATTTATTCAAAAGTTTATGATTATATTTCTCCACCATAGCCTTGGAATAGGGATGAAACTACATTGTCCTAGTCTATTTAATTCCAAGGATCTGACATATCCATAAACAAAGTTCAGTCCCTTATCTGAGTAAATTTCAATATGTACCCCAAATTTTGAAATGAAGGCATTGACAAGAAGTTTTCTTGCTAGCATTTCTTCTTCCTGTGTAGGAACAGCATATGCTTCTGGCCATTTGATGAAATAGTTCATCAGAACCATGAGGAGTTTATTCCCACTGTTACTCTGTGGTAGAGGGCCAAGCACATTAACAGCAACTTTCTCAAGTGGTGCTCTAACACAGTACTGTTGTAACTGCTTATTCTTTTTCATTTGTGGATATTTTTGCTAACAGCATAGTTCACATGACATACACCAGGTCTTTACATATCCATGGCACCCAATTTTATAAGAGCATTCTCTTTCTCTTTAATGTCTTCTTAATACTTAGGTGGTCAGCCATTGGAAGGTTGTGAAGATGATGGAATGCTTCGGAATATAGAGACTGTGGAAGTATCAACTGTAGTTGTAATTTATGTTCAGTGGTATCTTCCCTGTTCCAACATAATAAACCCTTTTGTAAACTTAATGAATCCCACTGTATCTAGTATGTCTTTGTTTTTAAGCTGTATGGAGCAACTGTTTGCCATGAAGGTGTTCTTCACACTGCTCTTGAAACATTAAAAATTTGGTTTCAATCATTGGTTATTAAAAAACACTGGTATAGAGGGCAAGCTATGTAGAGGATGATTTTACAAAATGATGACAATAAGTGCATAGTACAAGAGATCCTCTTACCTCATACAAGTTCCTTGGGGTTGGCTAATTCTGAACAGATTCAGTCTTGATGGGTTTTTAGTCACTTCTCTGCTAGCTGTGTCACACGGGAAACTTGCCTGTTGATGGAACAATTCACACTTCATTGGATTTCTTCCTCAATAAATTCAGAACTTCCCTGATCTCAACATAATCATTATCAGAGGTGTTCCCATGCATAATTATGCCATACAAGTTGGTAAGTATGATGTTTCAGAGTAGTTGAGAGAAATCACACTCCATTAGTCATTTCAATGTACCAAGTGCATTACATAAATTGAATAGTAACTCAACAAATTGCTATTATCCATTTCCTGCAGTAAAGACTATCTTCTCTCTACATTTTTGCTAACTTGCACTTATCAATATCTGCTCTTAATATCCAATGTTAAACACAATTTTGATCCATATAGAGTAACCAAAGTACATTCATTTCCTGGTAGTGAGTAAGAGTCCTTCGTTGTGACTTCATTCATCTTCTGGTAGTCCATACAAAACATTGTGGCTCCATCCTTCTTCACAAGTACAGGGAGTGATGCTCAAGGAATAGTACTTGTTTATATCACCTTTTATTCCTTCATGGCTTCTATTTCTTTAAAAACATCAGCCTGTTTTGCAACTGAGAGTCTTCTAGCTAACTGATTTATTGGGGGCTGCATCTTCAGCAGCAATCTTATGAGATATTTATTTGTTTGATGTGTGTGTCATGTAGTCCACTAGAGAAGGTATCTAGATATTCCATAAGTCATGTAATCTCTACCAGTGATCACTTGTAAGACTTCCACAGCTTCTGTTGTACATTTCTTGTATGTGAGGATTTAATGTCAGATTCCTATATCTTTCTTCAAAGGTGACTACTTATGATGTTCTTTGATGTGAAAGAACTACCTATACAGCTTCACATCTTACAGTGTCTCATCCAGACTTGATTCAAATTTTATGGTTCATTGTGTTCTTGACCCTAATGACAATATCTTTATTCTTGAAATCCACAAGATATCTTCCACCCATTAATCCCTTAGGACGTGCTGTAGTATTTGGTTCTACTACACCCCAGTCATTAGATGTAAATTTATTCCTAATAAGTCCTGGTATGATTATTTTACTACTTGATGTCAATTGCCCACATACCATAAGGCATAGAAAAGTTTCTTTCCTGCAGTGTCTTCCAACTTTTCTCTCTTTGGAACTTTTTGTCCACTTGTGTTCGCATCAATTCATCTTCTTTTTTCATTGCTGGAGCCCCCCCCCCCCTTCATTACCAAATCTCATCAAACTATAGTAGTTGTAGAACTAGTGTAAGTAACAGTATACAGAAGTTGGTGCTTAGGAACATAATTATTTTTCTTTTACTCTTATGTTGATAAGTTTGTGTAACATACAACAATTTCTTTAAGATATTCAATGCAGTATATATCTAAGTGAAAATGTATGAAATCTAGACATTAGCAATCGATGTATTCGAAGGAAAACAAAGTTTGATAATAAACAAAATTACGACACTTATGATATACAGCATTGTTAATTGACAAAAAGGGGACACTGATAGAATTCCGAAACGTTTATCCACGTCCCCTTTTT